AGCTGACGTCATGGCTGACGTCACGGTCGCTGCCAGAAAAATCTATAAATAGACCCCAGTTTCTTTAACTCGGCATTTCAAGAAACACCTTGTTGTTTTCGCAAGCCAGGAATCCTTGGGAAAGAGAACAGTTTAACACTGAAATTATTCAGTTAGCGGTTTTGTTTTGTTTTTTGCGAAACTTTTATAGAAATGTCACAGGAACCGTCCAGCAATTCAGTGTCTCACAGAGAAACGAGAGAGGAAGGACCGTCCAACTCAGGGGAGAGAGGAATAGTCCAGGGCATGGAGCCCAAAAAGAAAATTCGCATAAGCGAGATAGAGGGGGTGCCCGTAAAGATAACACTGCAGATTGGAGCACTTGAGCAAAATGTGCATGAACTTGAGGAAACGCAAGAGTTTCTCCTTGAACAGAACAACACCATTGTTGTTCAGCTGTCCAAGGCTGAAAGCGAGAGAAATGAACTAAAGAAACGGAATGCAGATCTCGAGAAAGCTTTGAAAACTATTAAGGGTCAAGTGGAAGAATTACAGTTTTCAAAAACCAAAAATGCTGCTGAACCTGAGGGACTTGAGACTCCTGTTGCTCAACCACCTCAGGATGAGGTTCAGGGTACTGGTATGTGGCATCGTGGTGCCAAATGCCTACTTAAAGTAGGTTTAGGTCTTGCCACAGCGGCCCTTATTGTTCCTGCAGCTTTCTGGGTCTTCTCAAAGATGTCCACCTGACGTGAATGACCCAGCTGCTCCCTGTGGCATTGTGTTTATAACTGATGCGCACCTGCGGACCACTTATGTGCACCCCTGTTTATAATCTTGTGAAAGACGCACGACAGACCTGACCATATACTCGTGTTTTTCATCATCTACTTTTATTACTACAGGTTTACCACTACAGATGGCTGCAGCTTTGCAGCTCACAGCCACACACAGTAACAACAACAACACAGCAGGACCTAGTTCAGCCTTTAAACCAGCAAGGCATGATTGCAGATTGGCGCTCAGGTGCGTCCACCTCCCCTGCTTTCCAACCACGGTCCACCAACTACACCAACCTCCGATAACTATGCAGTGCTCTCCTTTAAGTTTTATTTTGCCCCTCACCCCCCAACCAGTCGCGGCAGATGACTGCCCCTTCTTGAACCTGGTTCTGCCTCAGGTTTCTTCCTGTGAAAGGGAGTTTTTCCTGGCCACCGTTGCCCAGTGCTTGTTCATAGGGGATCATTTGATTGTTGGGGTTTATTCTTTAAAATGTCATTTTATTTAAATTATTTCAGGTGAGGGGTTCACTTGATAGGGAGCACAAAAAGCTGCAAATAAAAACAAATTTAAAAAAAGGTGTATTTAGCTGCAAATCAAAAATAAAAAAAAAACAAATATTAAATTTCCCTACTGCTTCGTTTATTTACTTAAAAGAACAGCTTTAAATTTTGTGTGATAGTGTCATGGCCCTTGGTCAAGTGATCCAGGGTTTATCTTTTGGACTGTGTGAATCTGGTTTAATTTGTGTCCTTTGATTTAATAGTATTCATGGTTCTGTTTCTCATCTCCCATGTGTCCATGTTGCTTTTGTATGTCGTGTCTCTTTAGCCGCCGCAGCAGTGGGCGGGCACATCCACATCATCCACGTCGCCGCCAACATACGTTGTATGTTTAGACCATTTATATCATTTGACATCCACAGGACATAGAGGTTCGAAAGACACTGAGTCATGCAATACCTTTAATGAGAATACTGTCAGTGAACACTGATGAGCTTCTGCTTCTTTAATGAGCCATAATTCTCATTAAAGAAGCAGGTTGGCTCATAAAGTGCTCTGTAGTTATCTAATGCAACTGCCATTTGTTTCAGGACATAACCACAATCTGTAATCAACACAGGGTTTATTGAACTGTCGGCTGTGCAGACAACATGGCACGCATGAAAAATGGGTAAGGACATTTTGTGAACACTCATAGTTGATGTCTTAATTATGGGAATAGCTACTATGTAATTGATGCTTCCTATTCTATCAGATAAGGTGCACCTTGTGTGGAAGTTAAGTTGGCTCATTTTTGCCTATGAGGTCTAAAACTTCTGCTTACATTTCAACATGAATGTACTACTACTTTCTACTTAGTACCCGAGTAATCCAGCAGAACAGCTCCAAGATGGTGGTGGTGTAAAGGCAGCCCTCTCTATGATATAGAGGAAATATATTTCATTTGAGGGTCAAATATTACAAGCTCCATTTAAAACAAACAGCACTATCAAAATACCAGGAAAAACGTAATTGCCTTTAAAAAAAAACAATGTGTGCAGACCAGCTTTAATTGTGGACAAATTGAAATTCAAACTTCAGTCAGGTATAAATATACCCAAACGGTATATTTATTTTTTTTCTTTCCACCAAAGTAAATATGATTCAATAGATTTTTGTAATTCCACGAAAAATCACCTTGCCCGGTGGGCCGATGGCCAGTCCAGCTATGGTCATTACGAGGGAAATTTCTTTTGCAGTTTGTCTGAAAAGATGGACTTGCGCTTCGGGATCCTTTAAACATCATCAGGCGCGTTGCTACGCGCTGTCTGTCCTGTCTGTGAGCTCACAAAGCAGCAGTACGGGGATGAATGACGTCACACACATGGATCCTCTGTCGGAATATAGTAAAACCGAGGACGGTTGGTTAGTTGGCTTAGTCCTCCTTTGATCGAATCAAAGGATCAAAGGATCGAAGAGAGCTGACGTCATGGCTGACGTCACGGTCGCTGCCAGAAAAATCTATAAATAGACCCCAGTTTCTTTAACTCGGCATTTCAAGAAACACCTTGTTGTTTTCGCAAGCCAGGAATCCTTGGGAAAGAGAACAGTTTAACACTGAAATTATTCAGTTAGTGGTTTTGTTTTGTTTTTTGCGAAACTTTTATAGAAATGTCACAGGAACCGTCCAGCAATTCAGTGTCTCACAGAGAAACGAGAGAGGAAGGACCGTCCAACTCAGGGGAGAGAGGAATAGTCCAGGGCATGGAGCCCAAAAAGAAAATTCGCATAAGCGAGATAGAGGGGGTGCCCGTAAAGATAACACTGCAGATTGGAGCACTTGAGCAAAATGTGCATGAACTTGAGGAAACGCAAGAGTTTCTCCTTGAACAGAACAACACCATTGTTGTTCAGCTGTCCAAGGCTGAAAGCGAGAGAAATGAACTAAAGAAACGGAATGCAGATCTCGAGAAAGCTTTGAAAACTATTAAGGGTCAAGTGGAAGAATTACAGTTTTCAAAAACCAAAAATGCTGCTGAACCTGAGGGACTTGAGACTCCTGTTGCTCAACCACCTCAGGATGAGGTTCAGGGTACTGGTATGTGGCATCGTGGTGCCAAATGCCTACTTAAAGTAGGTTTAGGTCTTGCCACAGCGGCCCTTATTGTTCCTGCAGCTTTCTGGGTCTTCTCAAAGATGTCCACCTGACGTGAATGACCCAGCTGCTCCCTGTGGCATTGTGTTTATAACTGATGCGCACCTGCGGACCACTTATGTGCATCCCTGTTTATAATCTTGTGAAAGACGCACGACAGACCTGACCATATACTCGTGTTTTTCATCATCTACTTTTATTACTACAGGTTTACCACTACAGATGGCTGCAGCTTTGCAGCTCACAGTAACAACAACAACACAGCAGGACCTAGTTCAGCCTTTAAACCAGCAAGGCATGATTGCAGATTGGCGCTCAGGTGCGTCCACCTCCCCTGCTTTCCAACCACGGTCCACCAACTACACCAACCTCCGATAACTATGCAGTGCTCTCCTTTAAGTTTTATTTTGCCCCTCACCCCCCAACCAGTCGCGGCAGATGACTGCCCCTTCTTGAACCTGGTTCTGCCTCAGGTTTCTTCCTGTGAAAGGGAGTTTTTCCTGGCCACCGTTGCCCAGTGCTTGTTCATAGGGGATCATTTGATTGTTGGGGTTTATTCTTTAAAATGTCATTTTATTTAAATTATTTCAGGTGAGGGGTTCACTTGATAGGGAGCACAAAAAGCTGCAAATAAAAACAAATTTAAAAAAAGGTGTATTTAGCTGCAAATCAAAAATAAAAAAAAACAAATATTAAATTTCCCTACTGCTTCGTTTATTTACTTAAAAGAACAGCTTTAAATTTTGTGTGATAGTGTCATGGCCCTTGGTCAAGTGATCCAGGGTTTATCTTTTGGACTGTGTGAATCTGGTTTAATTTGTGTCCTTTGATTTAATAGTATTCATGGTTCTGTTTCTCATCTCCCATGTGTCCATGTTGCTTTTGTATGTCGTGTCTCTTTAGCCGCCGCAGCAGTGGGCGGGCACATCCACATCATCCACGTCGCCGCCAACATACGTTGTATGTTTAGACCATTTATATCATTTGACATCCACAGGACATAGAGGTTCGAAAGACACTGAGTCATGCAATACCTTTAATGAGAATACTGTCAGTGAACACTGATGAGCTTCTGCTTCTTTAATGAGCCATAATTCTCATTAAAGAAGCAGGTTGGCTCATAAAGTGCTCTGTAGTTATCTAATGCAACTGCCATTTGTTTCAGGACATAACCACAATCTGTAATCAACACAGGGTTTATTGAACTGTCGGCTGTGCAGACAACATGGCACGCATGAAAAATGGGTAAGGACATTTTGTGAACACTCATAGTTGATGTCTTAATTATGGGAATAGCTACTATGTAATTGATGCTTCCTATTCTATCAGATAAGGTGCACCTTGTGTGGAAGTTAAGTTGGCTCATTTTTGCCTATGAGGTCTAAAACTTCTGCTTACATTTCAACATGAATGTACTACTACTTTCTACTTAGTACCCGAGTAATCCAGCAGAACAGCTCCAAGATGGTGGTGGTGTAAAGGCAGCCCTCTCTATGATATAGAGGAAATATATTTCATTTGAGGGTCAAATATTACAAGCTCCATTTAAAACAAACAGCACTATCAAAATACCAGGAAAAACTAATTGCCTTTATAAAAAACAATGTGTGCAGACCAGCTTTAATTGTGGACAAATTGAAATTCAAACTTCAGTCAGACCATATTCAATTGTATAAATATGCATGAAACCAAATGCAATGCTACTAATCTGCTGAAACAATGAATGCAAACCTGAAGGTCTGAGGGTTCCCCAGATAAAAAATAAAGTTTCTCTTTCACTTTACAGCTTTTTCTTCGGCTTCCCTCTCTTTTTCTTTGCAGGGTTAGCAACGATTCTCTTCACCTGGAGCGGCTGCAGAGTGCAGGAGGGAGACTCTGACACCTCCTCAGATTCACTTTCCAGTTTCCTTTTTTGTCCCCTTCTTTCACCACCTTCCTCCTCCTCCATGGCAACAGGTTCTTCAGGCTTAGCACCTTGCAGCCATGCCATGTCCAATGTAGGCACTCTGGGCTTAATGGCATCGACAGTGTCGGTAAACACCCCATCATCACTGGAGGAGCACCGTCTGAACCCGAGGGCGAGCACGCTTTTCAGCCCCAGCGGCTCCGACACACTCTGGCTCAGGCGAGGCACCTGGCAGGCCGGCACTCCTCTGGTGGTGCTCAGAGCGATCAGGTGATTAGTCGTGTGTTTCGGTTTGACAGACTTGCACACGAGCAGCAGTCTGAGTTCGTTTCTCTCCAGAGCCTTGGTCACCTCGTTGATGCCGATGGCCAGCTGCTGTCTGGCTGCCACATCTGTCCAGCCGTTTTTGGAGGAATCGCTCACCTGGGGAACAGGTTGTGGTGCGACATCAGGTTTTTTGCCTTTCTTTTTCCTCCATGGGCGAAACACTTTCACTTCTTTTTTCTCCAGACCCATTGAGATCAACTTATCCTTCAGAGTTTTCAGGATGAAGTGCATGTCCTCTTGGGGGAGCGGGCTCCATTTTGAGGCAAAGGGTGAGGTGAAGGAGGTCTTGGCTGGAGTCTGCTTTTTGATTTCCTTTTTAGTCGGCTTTCCGGGAGCTGCCATGACTGTTTGGAGCATAAAACAACCGACACTGTAACAAAAGAGAGAAAAACTGCTTTAGAGTCTGGCAACCAATCACTGGATACTTTATTAAGTACACCCGTTCACCTGACTGGTAATGAAGGCAATCAGATGAGTTCCCTGTACTTAACCTCCACAATCACCAGATCTCAATCAGAGAGAGCACCTTTATGATCTGGTGGAACAGGAGAGTCACATCATGTATGTGCAGCCACAAATGTAATGCTGTCATGTCAACATGGGTCACATGTTGATCCCCCAAGAATCTTTCATGAAGAAATAAAGCAGTTCTTAAGGCAAATGGGGGTCCAACCCAGCACAAGGAAGATGTATGAACTGGCCAGTAAATGTAAATAATTATTGATGTTAAATTAAAGCACAGAAATGCCAAAGATGAGTTAACCAGCTTACTCACATATAAAAAACGCATACCGAAATCTTTTTTATTTTCTTGTTTGTTTAAAAGGTAAAAAAGTAAAAGCAGTAAAGAGTAAACACGACTAAGAGGAATAAAGTAAATTTTAAGATGAGTGAATAAAATAGAAAAAACAAGAGCACATTTGTTAATTTTTTTTTATCCATAAGTCAGACTAAACAAACAAACAAACAACGCCATTATACACTAATACGGTTAGTAACGTTTTTATTTCGCATTTCTTTAACGCACATGGAAATGTCGTTAAATTTCGGATCTTCTTCGGCTCTAATAAAAAATTTTCGCTTCTGCGAGTGTTAAAAACAAACACAGCCGCCGTTACCTGTAGTTAAAGCAGGTAACGCATTTCTCCTCGTCTTCTTTACAGCTTCAGCACAGCTGCATGAGAGACACAGGGCGCTGCCATTTTGTTTCAATTTAAATAACTTTATTTAAAAAGCCCCACAGCGCCGAACAGCGGCGAAAGGGCGACACGACAGTCAAATCATCAAAGAGTCAGCGAAGGCAGTGAAGGTGGAGTTTGAGGCGGCGAACACTGTTATCTGACACTGTAGTGTCTGATGTAGGGAAAAGTGCATGAAGTCTCCTTCATGAATCCGCTGGAGTAAAAGTGCACGAGCACAGGAAATAGAAAGTAGGCTTTTCTAAACCAATTAATCAATTGGTTTAAATGCACTCAAAAGTGATTTTTTACACCAAGCAATAATATGAATAAAATGAAACATATAAAATAAAAAGGTTTATTTATTCAAATACTTCATTAAAAGGTTAAAAAGGTATTTAGGTCTTTGCGCATATTAAAAATGGTTCCTGTGGTCTATAATTATCAGATCCTTTGATCGAATCAAAGGATCGAAGAGAGCTGACGTCACGGCTGACGTCACGGTCGCTGCCAGAAAAATCCTTAAATAGACCCGTTTCTTTAACTCAGCATTTCAAGAAACACCTAGTTGTTTTCGTAAGCCAGGAATCCTTGGGAAAGAGAACAGTTTAACATTGAAATTATTCAGTTATTGGCTCAATATATAAGACAAAATAAAGAAGTAGAAGGTATTAATATCCATGAAAAGGAGCATGAATTAGAATAGAATAGAATTCAACTTTATTGTCATTGCACATGCACAGGTACAGGGCAACGAAATGCAGTTTGCATCCATCCAGAAGTGCTTTAGTGATATAGATATATTACAATATATATTAGCAATAATATAGATATGTGAGTATATTACAGAAATGGGTCTATTATGGTATGTTATAATGTACACGGTATGAAGTATGTTGTGAATATTCTATAACTATAAGTATGTACAGGCTGTAGTGAGTACAAGCTATGTACAGGATATGAACAGGATATAAATATGAAAAACTATACAGAATATGAAATAAATAACTTTACAGAATCTGGGATATACAGCTATACAGAAATGGGAACTATGCAAGTTGTAAACAGTTGTAGGATTAAAAATTATCGAATGTACAGAATGATTATTTACACAGAGCTATACAGTAGTGCAGTTAAGAAATTAGCCTGCTATGCAGATGATATTTTAATATTTTTGGGTCAACCATCAAATTCTTTACCTAAATTAATGCAATCATTTGAATACTTTAGTCGACTATCTGGATAGAGGGTTAATATGAGTAAAACACAATTGCTTAAGTACAATTATATTCCATCAGAAGAAATTAAAAATAAGTATCAATTAGCATGGCAAACAGAGTACTTTAAATATCTAGGAGTCATAATACCTAAGGATCTTACAGAACTATTAGAACGAAATTATTTACCAATACAGAAAAAAATTAAGAAAGATATAGCGAGATGGAATTTAATTCCATATTTAAGTTTATATTCGAGAATAGACTCAATTAAAATTAATATTCTTCTTAAATTATTATATTTATTTCAAACACTACCAATAGAAATTAACCAGAAACAGTTTAATGAATGGGACAAAATTTTGTCAAGATACATACGGCAAGGAAAAAGGCCCCGAATTAGATTTAAAACCCTACAACTTAACAAAGGAAAAGGGGGGTGGGGCTTACCTTCTCTTAGGGAATATTATTGGGCAGCACAATTAAGGCCTATGATATGCTGATGTAATCCTTCATACGATGCTCAATGGAAAGCCATTGAGGAGGTTCTGACTTCCATCCCCATACAAGCTATTATAGCAGACAGAAGCTTGCAAAATTTAATAAAAACTATTGAAAATCCATGGATCAAGTTGACTTTTAAAATTTGGGAAACAGTAATAAAAGAATATAAACTAGAAGAGGATATAGCAGTTCTTAAGTGGTGTGCATATGACACACATTTTGCTCCAAATAAATTGGACACCAGATTCAAAGATTGGACATATAAAGGATTAACAGCTTTATGTATGGTAATGGAGGAAGGGAGACTAATTAGTTTTGATAAAATGAAAGATAAATATTCATTAGAAACACAGGATTTTTATAGATATCTACAGATGAGGCATTTTGTCAATAAAACGATAAAAGCTAAGGCTGAATTGAGTAAACAGCTGCTAGACGTATTTAAAAGGGCATATAGTTCAAATAAAAATAGAGGTATTTTAGGTGACCTCTATAAAGGATTAACAAATATGAAATTACACTCAACCTTGTATATCAAAACAAAATGGGAAATTGAGGGAGGAATAGAGATAAAAGGAGGATGAGTGGACAACAATATGGGCATATCAATGGAAACGTAGCAGCTCACAGAGCTGGAGGGAATTTGGGTGGAAATGCCTGATAAGATATTTTATTACACCTCACCAAAAATCTCACTATGAAGGTAACCCTCCCACTTGCTGGAGAAATTGTGGAAATACAAATGCTAATCACTATCACATTTTCTGGGACTGTCATGTTATTAAAACTTAGTGGAAGGGAATACATGCAGCAATACAAGAGACATTTGGAAGATGTTTACCTTTGGAAAGTAAAAGTCTATTATTTGGACTTATTCCAGAAGGATGGACAAAGAACGATAAATACTTGTTTAATATTTTACTGGCAGCAGGAAAAAAGCCATCACAGAAAAAAAAAGGAAAAAAGATTTTGACTTTGTTAACTACTAGAAGACTAGAGGAAATATTAGTTACATTAATGGAAACAAAAACACTCCCTATATTTATTTATCTTTCCTTTTTCCTTATGTATTTTTTATTTATGTTGTTTTGCTTCTTTTTCTTTGCTTCTTCTTTCGTTCTTATTGTATGGATATTTTAGTTGTTTAAATATAGAAAAAAAGAAAAAATATATGTACTGAAAGATAGCTGAAGTTGATGGTATTGTATAGTGATTCTAAAATGTCAATAAAAAAAAGAAAGAAATTATTCAGTTAGCGGTTTTGTTTTGTGCGAAACTTTTATAGAAATGTCACAGGAACCGTCCAGCAATTCAGTGTCTCACAGAGAAACGAGAGAGGAAGGACCGCCCAACTCAGGGGAGAGAGGAATAGTCCAGGGCATGGAGCCCAAAAAGAAAATTCGCATAAGCGAGATAGAGGGGGTGCCCTTAAAGATAACACTGCAGATTGGAGCACTTGAGCAAAATGTGCATGAACTTGAGGAAACGCAAGAGTTTCTCCTTGAACAGAACAACACCATTGTTGTTCAGCTGTCCAAGGCTGAAAGCGAGAGAAATGAACTAAAGAAACGGAATGCAGATCTCGAGAAAGCTTTGAAAACTATTCAGTGTCAAGTGGAAGAATTACAGTTTTCAAAAACCAAAAATGCTGCTGAACCTGAGGGACTTGAGACTCCTGTTGCTCAACCACCTCAGGACGAGGTGAACCTTACCATTTTCTTAAAGCCAGAAATCAACTTTTTTCGGAGCAACTTACCACGAAACCCAAAAACTGTAAATCAAAGCAAATTGCTGATTCTGTTTTCCACAAGTTGCATTTGAGTTGAACATGTTGTCAAATAGGTTAGACTTTGGTTAAGAGCTTTGTTTTGAAGCTTCTTATCCTCTGGGAACAGGTAGATGTCAACTCCATAAAAATGTGTTGCACAGCTTTAAATGTGTACTTGAGTTCTTTGGGAAAATCCATGTTGAGCCCATAAAGTAGGCCAAACAGGTAGGCAAAGGCAGTGGGAAGGTCTGGCAGATCATCAAGAATAATGTCCTCTTCCAAAACAATGGCAGTGTTGACCACTGTGGACTGCGAGTTGGGTCCCACGTAGTCCTCCAGAACAGTGAGGATGCCCACCGTAACACCTCGGGTTGCCCTCTCAACTGGATCTGTATCCTATGCAAAAAAAACAAAAACAAAACAAAAAAAAACCCCCAGTACATATAAGTCTCTGAAAACCAAATCCGAAGATTGAGTAGATCTGCATGCTCACCAGACATGTTAAGAAGAGTTTGGTCTCGTCGTCGCGAACAAATATCGGTAACCCTTCCAAACTGATGGTTCATCAATGCTCGACTATGTTTGAGACCTAAAACAAGGAAATCAAATAAGACTCAGTCTCATTTATAAACCTACCATTTTGTTTTTAAAACACATTAAGTTTTGTTGCTAAAAATACAGTCTTAAGAAATAAGATGTTGAAATTAGTTATTGCAGATAATTGCTCATGGTTTTGTCAGTTGTTTTTTTAAAGTAATTTTGATGTGCAAGAAATGTAGCACACTTATTACAACATGTATAACAAAAAGTGCCATGACCTGCCATCTGCCAAACACACAGCGCTGCTTGTTAGCTTATAATCCCATTCAGGACACTTTCTGAAAACTATTGAATATTTACTAAATTGATGTAAAAATTGTTAAAATATCTTTCTTTACAGTGGGAACTTCAGGTTCCTCATAAACCAGACACCAATACATTTTTATATATATTACCTGTTCATCAAACTTCCGCAACAGGGAATCCATGTCATTGCAGAAAGCAGCTTTTTTAATTCGATACAGCTTAATCAGCCGAAGTGAGTAAGTGTCGAGGGCAGTCATGAAGGTCCCCATGAGATCCTTGGTAATGCGTGAGAATTCCGCACAAATCTACAAAGCAACAAAAAATAAAAAAAATATTAAAAAAAAAATAAATTAAAAAAAAAAATAGAAAACTTTTAAAGGTACATTATATAAAAATGACATTGTTTTCAAATTTGGTTAAAACAGCTTAATTTCAAAACATTTAGTTAGTCTCGGCTGATCTATTTGTCAGGTCTTGATTGGATTTTTTTTTTCCCCCTTTTAGTGGTAGTGGTGGTACAAATTATAACTGACGCATTTAAAAAAAAAAAAAAAAAAAAAAAAATCTGATCGGCAGATTTTACATTAAGTATATAGAATACCTAATCAAATGCTGATTAGACAAAATAATGGTTTCAACTGTTACAGGATGCATTGAAGAAAAGAAATAAATCAGTAAATTGTATTTTAAATTCATTGCAAAAATTTCATTAATTTTGTAGTTATGTAAGAATGAAGTAAGAATAACATCCTGTGGTCAAATTTGGATACTTTCATAACACGCAAGTGACTTTCTCAATCCTGTTCTGTGAGTTTCATGGCTGTTGCCTGCTAAGGGTCAGCACCAAAAGATTCTAGATGCCCAGTGAAGACAAGTCATTGCAAAAACTGTGGTTCAGGGGGTTGGGAAGCTCATCTATAACCAGAAGGATGCTGGTTCTGTCCCCCAGCTCTCTCTGTCCTGGTCGTTGTATCCTTGGGCAAGACCCTTTACGCTACCACCTACTGGTGTTGGCCAGAGGGGCCAATGTGCGATATGGCAGCGTCGCTTCTGTCAGTCTACCCCAGGGCAGCTGTGGCTATAACTGTGGTTTCCCTGCACCGATGTGTGAATGTGAGAGTGAGTAAGTAGTGGAATTGTAAAGCGCTTTGGGTGCCCAGCAAAGAGCGAAATAAATGCAATCCATTATTATACACGGTAAGTTGACAAGTAAATAGATTTCACTTCAATCGAGTTGTTGGTAATACCAAAATTAGCTTCATATTTTTAGAGCCAACTATTTTTTTTATATTTTACCATTAGCATTGTTAGCTCAACGGTAGCCTTCAACCTTTTCTACAAGATATTGGAGTGATACAAACAGATATTTCTCAAGGGCACAAGAAATGGAGCTCACGTTCATTTACTCACCCAGACAAGTTTCGAGGCATTTGGAGTTGATCAAAAAATTTTTTATATCATATAAAATCAACTTTTTCGAGCTTTTAAACACATTTTAATGTTATTTCCTTAGATTAAAAACCCTCCACAGTGGTTTTTGGCTTAATTCAGGCATTTCTTAGTTGTCTCAGTGAATCCTTTCCCCATAACCGTGGCTCAGCTCTCTCCTGCAAAACGACTGACTCGTAACATTGGGATTAAAATTTCTTTCTAACAACTCCAAATACCTTGAAATTTGTCTGGGTGAGTAAATGAACGTTTTCCATTCTAGAAATAAGACCACACTGAAAAAAAATGGAAGTTTTCCTTTAAATATTTAAGAGATTATCTAACCTGTTCTTTCAAGAAGAGACCTGGCCATCTGAGCTGCATTTCCTTGACCAAGGGCTGCATCTCCACAACTTCTTTCCTCCTGAGAGAGAATGTGATGTCCATCTTTTGGGTGATGAGTGCCATGTTCTTATCCCTCTTCATTTCATCTTCCAAAATGCATCTTTCATTTTCAAGAGACTCATTATTGTAGTTTTCTGGGGCATCAGGGATAAAGTTGACTTCACCTCGCTTTGGTTTCTTTAAGGAAAATCTATTTGTGCCACTGTCATCTTCTTCCCCTCTTTTTTTTCGATTGTCTGCAACTTCACTACATTCAGCTTGACTTAGCTTGGAACGGTAGTTGGCAAGCTTGAACTTAATGCTTGTTGCCCAACCATCATATCCTGTGCCATTGCCGGGCTCTTTGAGGCAGGGATGTTTTGAAACTAGCTCCTGGGCAACAGACGTTATTTCATTCTTGTCAGGGTAGGCTTTGATTGCAAACATTTCTTGTGCCAGCTTGTCTAGAACTTCCATCTTGATGTCTCTTGTTACACTTAAATTTGCCCCTGCTTTCTCATATACCTCGTTGCCCTTGCAAAGTTTTAACTCTACATCATAGGAAAAGGTTGGGCTAGGAAATGGATTTGGCCACTGAAGTGCTACGCATGTAGGTCTGGGTGGATGAGGATGGGCTGAAAGAAGATGCTGAACTCACACTGGCTGTATCAATAGATGAGATGGTGCTATGATCAGATGGAGTCTGGTGGCGAGGCTGATGCATTTTCCTCCCAAATGAGGTGCAACACTGCCCGTCCAGCAGGTAGCTCATTAATATCCATCAGGTTGCAAAGTGCGTTCCCAAAATCTGGGTCTTCATATTGTATTGCAAAGTCACCTTCAAGTCCAAGCTTTGCTTGTAGTTCATCTTGAAGCTGCTTCACAGATTCTGGAACAGTGGACAGTTGGATTTTTCTGATAAGTTTTGGACTGACGTGGACTCGCAATAACAGGGCCTGTGAAGACAAACCAAAAAAAGGGCACAATTCTAAATAATTAACGAATTCAAAGTAATCAACTGAAAACTATTTAAGAATAATACATACCATCACTTTCAATGCAGGAGGCACGTAACAGGTGTCACCATCAGTTGTCCAGCTACGCAGTATTCAGCTAAAGGGTGGTAATCATTCAAATCTTCTGGGTCAAGTATTTCCAGATCTTTGTAGCTGCTGTCAAGCCGATCTGTAATGTTCCATAAACCAAGAGGAGAGCTTTGTAGCAACAAATGACACTTTCCCAGAGTCAGTTATTTATTGCAGTTATTTTATGAATTTTTCGAGATGTTCCTAAAGGGTTGCATATTTCAAAGTCGTCAATATACAAAGCTAAACTAATGCAAGTATCTTGCAATCCTAAAAGCTTGTTGTTTAAAAATACTGCCCATCTCTAAATGATCTGTAACCTTCACTAATTTCTTTATCAAATGCTAACTTTTCAAAGAAACTTTTCTCTTTCAATAAGTTCTCCAACACCTGGTTTACTGAGACATAAACAAATGTATTTCTAGTTCTCGCTTTGTAGGTGTACTCTTTAGGCTCACATACATGAAAATTATTCTTGAAATAAATATTTCTCTTGTAATCGGTAGATAATGCACCTTTTGGTTCTGTTGAGATAAATAATGGGTTGGTTTTGAAAAGTGCATCATTTAAAATTTTTATTACATCATCATCTGCCTCAATGTTCTGTTCAGCAAGCACCTCTTTGATTCTTTGAAATGAATGAACCTTAGAAAATTTTAAAATGTCACTAATTTCCTCAATAATTTCCTGCAAAGCCCTTTTAGAAACATGTAACAATGTTTGCATGTAGAGCAGGGCAATATGACCAAAATATTTATCGTGATATAGATTTGAAAATTTGCGATAACGATATAATTGACACTAGACAAAATACTTTACAACTCCACAACTTTATTAGTGCAAAAAAACACATCAATGTATTTTCACTTAAACAAGCAGCTGTTTTTTTTTAAATCTGCATTAATATATATATAAAAATTTAACAGTGCAAATGCAAATTCCTTGCTGACAGTTTAACCAAAAGGCATTTCCAGTGGAAACTGGCCGACATATCCTCAGCTTAACCATGTATAACAGCCACGAAACTTAAAAAGAGGTTATATACACACACACACACACACAATACGGTAATATTATGTTGAAGCACCGTACGTATCACTCCGCCGGGCTCCTCCCTCGTCATCATAAATAATGCTGTTCCAGGTTCAACATTGCAAGTGACCAATCACCTTCTCCTGACGTCATCCGCGACCTCGAAAAAAAAAGCAAACGCCTTCAAAAAAATCTACTTCACTTGCGAGAGGAGAAACCGCCTCTGTAAGGACAATATGTATAATGCTTACCGTTTATTAAAGTATCCTGAAATGCAAAGAATTCAAGTTCCTGAATGGGCGGACAGAAGCGGTTTCTCTTCTCGCAAGTGAAGTAGATTTTTTAAGGCAGTATTTTTCAAAGACACAAAAGGGGGACATCACAACAATGTCATTGGTCACTTGCAATGTTGACCCTGGAACAACATTTATTATGATGATGTGGGAACAACACACAGACACGAGGATATCAGATCATCCCCTGCGGATGACAGCCGTACTGCTCCGACAATCCATCAAGCGGTGTGGCTTCGTAGCTTAGCAAAGTCGTACTAAAACATTTGACAGATTTTCGAGCGCCGTGTACATAAACTCGTCTCGAGGTCAGTAAACAACCAGAATTCATACATAAGGCACACGGGATTATAAGGGGCTCTGTTGATTTTCAGAAAAATCAAAGGATTGATTTTAAGTGTGCCGTATTTTCCAAACAACATGGTAATAACGACGGCCCGCTAGCATGCTCTACCAAAAATAGTGCTTTGTTGTGTATCTGACGGACGAAAGCTAAACCAGTTCCACACCACTGAAGCTGCAGCATTTTTACAAACCAGTTCTGGTTCATCGTTTCATTCAACGATCCACTTTCACTCTTCTCATTCCCCGTCGGCTTTTTCACCATGTGCGTATGAAAACAAAGGCACTGCGCATGCGCGTTTTACCCATATTCTATCGTGATATTTCATTTTCTTATCGTTGCCCAACATTACACCGGTATTACCGTGAACGGGATGATATGGCCCAGCCCTATTTGCATGCATAGAAAAAGTCTAGCTATTTTATGTTCAAGACATTGGTAATCTACAAACTCATTGTCCTCTTTATCACTTGATGCTACACCTGAACCACTTGGTAATGTCTCTGACTCCTGAGAGGTATTTAAGGATTTATCAGGGGAGCTACTTTCACTAGGACATGCATTTGCATGAGAAATCAGTCTAATACAGTTTTTTATATCTTTTGAGTTTTTTGTGCTTTCTGCTTGTGTGTGACATAAAGGTTGATAAATTGTTGGTAACATAGTCACATTTTTGGAAAGGACAGGATACAGTCTGATGGGTTTTTAAGTGCCTTAAAATATGTGAAATAAATGTATGCTGTGAACAGTTTTCCTTAAATTCACAAAAAACACACACACAAAAAAATGTTGAGATCGCCTGCCTTTTCTTAGCCCTGTTGTGTGATCTGCTGAGGTGAGACTTCAATGCCCTTCGTGTCCTAAATGAACAGACTCAGTCACTGTAAACACAGGGCAAATGAAATCCTCTTCTATGTCGTAGCTGGTGATGTCTTAAGAGTACTTCTTGGCTTGAACAGACAAAAGAGCAGAACTGGCACTGCATACAAAAACTATAATGAGAAGAGAGGACAGTGTCAACAATTCAAAAGAAACCTAAATTAATCTCAAATTACCAAAGTTACATTACCTGATTATGTGTTTGGGGGCGGGGGGAGGCACCCCTGTTCTGATTCCTCTCCTTACCAACTCTTCGTCAGTCCCTCACAAATCAGGACAAGTAGTGGTCTGGAGTTGGCTTTTCATTCTCTAAATAAATAAAAATAGCAATTAGTTTTAAAATAAAATACCAGCTTCCTGACATTACTTAAGAATTTTTTTCTCCTGTCCTAATTGTTTTGACTAAAGTGAGCTGATTCTGCCTTGTAAAATGCCATGTAAAACAGTGTAAAACAAATAATTTACAAGATATACATTACATCAAATGTTTAATTTATTATTAACAGATTGTATTCTACATGGAATGCACCAACAGTGTACTGGGATGTATTATGTATGCCAAGGATAATTGTGTGTGATTGGTTTTACAACTTAGAATGACAAACATTGAATTGAAAGTATGAGTGGGATAAAACTCCTGAAGCATCTGTTTAAATTATCAGTGCATTTATTAATGATGCTCCATAAATAAACCAAAACAATGTTTTGTGCATAACAAAAAGCTCACAATTGTGCGATCAAAATGTAAACTAAAAGATGCTGAGCATAATAACAAAGACAGATTTCGCAGCTGCTCTGTTTCCAAGTTCTACTGCGTGACTGACAGCCTGGAGTTTGAAATCCTCTTTGTAACCATGTCTCTTACAGGTGCCATTTATGGTCCTTATACACATAATATGGTAATATTACGTTGAAGCAGAGTATCACTCTGCGAGGCTCCTCGGTAGCCGTAATAATCCAACAATCAATCAAGCAGTGCAGCTTCATAGCTTAGCAAAGTCGTACCAAAACATTTTTGACAGATTTTTTTAAGCTGTGTACCACATAAAATTGGTTCGCGGTCAGTAAGCACAACCAGAATACATAAATAAGGCGCACTGTCTATTTTTGAGGAAACGAAAGGATTTTAGGCCGTGCGTCAAGGCGTTAGCCCGGTTAGCTCGTTAGAGCCGCCCAGCTCCACGCACGCGGTGATCCGCGGTAACTAGTTAACGGAGATTTGCCCCATTAATGCAGTTACGGCATTAACTTTACGCTGACAGTACTAAAATAGTAATCTTCAAATGTTTTCTTTTTACCGACCAGATCCTCTTTGATAGCTGCCGTGTCCATCTTGTTGCCTGCAGATGAAGCGATGGGGGAGGGGGAGTTGTGTTCAGTGAAGGAGAGAGCCGAGGTGGAGTAACGTTGCGTAGAGACAAAAGTGGACGAAAGAGAGGCAAACTTGCGGCTCCACAAGTATAATTATAATGTAACATAGACTACATCGATATAAACGATATTGTTACATCTCATATCTCGTATAAAAATATATTTAGAAACTCTACATGTCGCCCAGTCCTAATCACTTGTTCATCTGTTTTGTTCCAGCTTCATTACTGGATGCATAGTTCTAATGCATCTGTGTTTTTTAAGTTATTTAAAGCCTGTTTGATATGACTCTTGCAGACTCTAGTAGTTCGTATTTAATATTTACTGCTCTGTAGCTGCTTCTCTGATCTCCCTCCTGTTTGTGTGTTTGGTGGAGCTCGCTGGCCGTGAGGACTCCACCACCCCGTTCACACAGAAACTAAAGCATACATTTTATTGGCTAACAGCGATTCGAACAAATTAGACGACATGGCAGCGGGCGCCCCCGAATTTTATTTTTAAATAGCAGCGGGGGGGTTGCAGCCGTTGGTCATGAGCGAGACAGCCTATTTTGTTTCGTTAGGTGGTATGGCGGCCACAGACTGCACTTCATGAAATACACATAGGGGGTGTCGCGGAGGCTTGTCAGATATGAGCTCGCCTCTTTAGTAGCGTCGGATTTTCATTGTTTTGTGACATGGCATGTAGCTTGTGACATGGAATCTTAAATGATATAGTAAACCCATGAGCCACAAGGCTTCTTAGCCTAGAAAGTAATGCTATGCTAAGTTTCAGAAAAATACGAAGCACTTCAGTTGTGATATTTCTAAAATACAAATTGAGACTGTTCAAACATATACTGTCTGATATAATAAAAGAAACATTAATTGCCTTTAGAAAGTTGAGATGAACGATCTATCCAGCTCCTGGTATAAAAAGCCTCACGTTCTCATTAAGGCAGACGGCCAGGTGGCTTTCAGTCCTTGCAAAAGCGCAAAGTAGACCCCGTAGTATCCAAAAATATGAGATGCGCATGCGTGCTCAGGTACAGAAAGGCGCCAAATGCTTCAAATCATGTAAAACTTGAATTCATTCATTTTGCCAGCAATAAATTTCATCTTCGACCAACTTTTGCTCTAAAACGTTAAAGGATTAGTTGAAACCCTTAATGTATTTGAGTTTATGGGGCAACTCAACTTTTATTGTTGAATTGTGAAAGAAATAACTGTAAGCTCAACAATTGCAAGTTTGATTTTTTACAGTGCAAAGCAGTTCGGGGATGAATGACGTCACACACATGGATCCTCTGTCGGAATATAGTAAAACCGAGGACGGTTGGTTAGTTGGCTTAGTCCTCCTTTGATCGAATCAAAGGATCGAAGAGAGCTGACGTCATGGCTGACGTCACGGTCGCTGCCAGAAAAATCTATAAATAGACCCCAGTTTCTTTAACTCGGCATTTCAAGAAACACCTTGTTGTTTTCACAAGCCAGGAATCCTTGGGAAAGAGAACAGTTTAACACTTAAATTATTCAGTTAGTGGTTTTGTTTTGTTTTTTGCGAAACTTTTATAGAAATGTCACAGGAACCGTCCAGCAATTCAGTGTCTCACAGAGAAACGAGAGAGGAAGGCCCGTCCAACTCAGGGGAGAGAGGAATAGTCCAGGGCATGGAGCCCAAAAAGAAAATTCGCATAAGCGAGATAGAGGGGGTGCCCTTAAAGATAACACTGCAGATTGGAGCACTTGAGCAAAATGTGCATGAACTTGAGGAAATGCAAGAGTTTCTCCTTGAACAGAACAACACCATTGTTGTTCAGCTGTCCAAGGCTGAAAGCGAGAGAAATGAACTAAAGAAACGGAATGCAGATCTCGAGAAAGCTTTGAAAACTATTCAGTGTCAAGTGGAAGAATTACAGTTTTCAAAAACCAAAAATGCTGCTGAACCTGAGGGACTTGAGACTCCTGTTGCTCAACCACCTCAGGATGAGGTTCAGGGTACTGGTATGTGGCATCGTGGTGCCAAATGCCTACTTAAAGTAGGTTTAGGTCTTGCCACAGCGGCCCTTATTGTTCCTGCAGCTTTCTGGGTCTTCTCAAAGATGTCCACCTGACGTGAATGACCCAGCTGCTCCCTGTGGCATTGTGTTTATAACTGATGCGCACCTGCGGACCACTTATGTGCACCCCTGTTTATAATCTTGTGAAAGACGCACGACAGACCTGACCATATACTGGTGTTTTTCATCATCTACTTTTATTACTACAGGTTTACCACTACAGATGGCTGCAGCTTTGCAGCTCACAGCCACACACAGTAACAACAACAACACAGCAGGACCTAGTTCAGCCTTTAAACCAGCAAGGCATGATTGCAGATTGGCGCTCAGGTGCGTCCACCTCCCCTGCTTTCCAACCACGGTCCACCAACTACACCAACCTCCGATAACTATGCAGTGCTCTCCTTTAAGTTTTATTTTGCCCCTCACCCCCCAACCAGTCGCGGCAGATGACTGACCCTTCTTGAACCTGGTTCTGCCTCAGGTTTCTTCCTGTGAAAGGGAGTTTTTCCTGGCCACCGTTGCCCAGTGCTTGTTCATAGGGGATCATTTGATTGTTGGGGTTTATACTTTAAAATGTCATTTTATTTAAATTATTTCAGGTGAGGGGTTCACTTGATAGGGAGCACAAAAAGCTGCAAATATTAAAAAAAAACAACAAAAAGGTGTATTTAGCTGCAAATCAAAAATAAAAAAAAACAAATATTAAATTTCCCTACTGCTTTGTTTATTTACTTAAAAGAACAGCTTTAAATTTTGTGTGATAGTGTCATGGCCCTTGGTCAAGTGATCCAGGGTTTATCTTTTGGACTGTGTGAATCTGGTTTAATTTGTGTCCTTTGATTTAATAGTATTCATGGTTCTGTTTCTCGTCTCCCATGTGTCCATGTTGCTTTTGTATGTCGTATGTCGTGTCTCTTTAGCCGCCGCAGCAGTGGGCGGGCACATCCACATCATCCACGTCGCCGCCAACATACGTTGTATGTTTAGACCATTTATATCATTTGACATCCACAGGACATAGAGGTTCGAAAGACACTGAGTCATGCAATACCTTTAATGAGAATACTGTCAGTGAACACTGATGAGCTTCTGCTTCTTTAATGAGCCATAATTCTCATTAAAGAAGCAGGTTGGCTCATAAAGTGCTCTGTAGTTATCTAATGCAACTGCCATTTGTTTCAGGACATAACCACAATCTGTAATCAACACAGGGTTTATTGAACTGTCGGCTGTGCAGACAACATGGCACGCATGAAAAATGGGTAAGGACATTTTGTGAACACTCATAGTTGATGTCTTAATTATGGGAATAGCTACTTGATGCTTCCTGTTCTATCAGATAAGGTGCACCTTGTGTGGAAGTTAAGTTGGCTCATTTTTGCCTATGAGGTCTAAAACTTCTGCTTACATTTCAACATGAATGTACTACTACTTTCTACTTAGTACCCGAGTAATCCAGCAGAACAGCTCCAAGATGGTGGTGGTGTAAAGGCAGCCCTCTCTATGATATAGAGGAAATATATTTCATTTGAGGGTCAAATATTACAAGCTCCATTTAAAACAAACAGCACTATCAAAATACCAGGAAAAACTTAATTGCCTTTATAAAAAACAATGTGTGCAGACCAGCTTTAATTGTGGACAAATTGAAATTCAAACTTCAGTCAGACCATATTCAATTGTATAAATATGCATGAAACCAAATGCAATGCTACTAATCTGCTGAAACAATGAATGCAAACCTGAAGGTCTGAGGGTTCCCCAGATAAAAAATACTTGGCAGAAAAGTCTAAACCTTGTTCCCATAAACCTTTTTTTCTCTTTACGCTTCCAGAAATTCTTTATATAAACTATTCACATAAGTAATGTCCAGACTGAGGCTGCAAGCACTGTTCAAAAACCAAAAAATAAACAACACTGGAAACTCCTGAGCTAAACAGTCTTTAAAGTTTCTCTTTCACTTTACAGCTTTTTCTTCGGCTTCCCTTTCTTTTTCTTTGCAGGGTTAGCAACGATTCTCTTCACCTGGAGCGGCTGCAGAGTGCAGGAGGGAGACTCTGACACCTCCTCAGATTCACTTTCCAGTTTCCTTTTTTGTCCCCTTCTTTCACCACCTTCCTCCTCCTCCATGGCAACAGGTTCTTCAGGCTTAGCACCTTGCAGCCATGCCATGTCCAGTGTAGGCACTCTGGGCTTAATGGCATCGACAGTGTCGGTAAACACCCCATCATCACTAGAGGAGCACCGTCTGAACCCGAGGGCGAGCACGCTTTTCAGCCCCAGCGGCTCCGACACACTCTGGCTCAGGCGAGGCACCTGGCAGGCCGGCACTCCTCTGGTGGTGCTCAGAGCGATCAGGTGATTAGTCATGTGTTTCGGTTTGACAGACTTGCACACGAGCAGCAGTCTGAGTTCGTTTCTCTCCAGAGCCTTGGTCACCTCGTTGATGCCGATGGCCAGCTGCCGTCTGGCTGCCACATCTGTCCAGCCGTTTTTGGAGGAATCGCTCACCTGGGGAACAGGTTGTGGTGCGACATCAGGTTTTTTGCCTTTCTTTTTCCTCCATGGGCGAAACACTTTCACTTCTTTTTTCTCCAGACCCATTGAGATCAACTTATCCTTCAGAGTTTTCAGGATGAAGTGCATGTCCTCTTGGGGGAGCGGGCTCCATTTTGAGGCAAAGGGTGAAGTGAAGGAGGTCTTGGCTGGAGTCTGCTTTTTGATTTCCTTTTTAGTCGGCTTTCCGGGAGCTGCCATGACTGTTTGGAGCATAAAACAACCGACACTGTAACAAAAGAGAGAAAAACTGCTTTAGAGTCTGGCAACCAATCACTGGATACTTTATTAAGTACACCCGTTCACCTGACTGGTAATGAAGGCAATCAGATGAGTTCCCTGTACTTAACCTCCACAATCACCAGATCTCAGAGAGAGCACCTTTATGATCTGGTGGAACAGGAGAGTCACATCATGTATGTGCAGCCACAAATGTAATGCTGTCATGTCAACATGGGTCACATGTTGATCCCCCAAGAATCTTTCATGAAGAAATAAAGCAGTTCTTAAGGCAAATGGGGGTCCAACCCAGCACAAGGAAGATGTATGAACTGGCCAGTAAATGTAAATAATTATTGATGTTAAATTAAAGCACAGAAATGCCAAAGATGAGTTAAACAGCTTACTCACATATAAAAAACGCATACCGAAATCTTTTTTATTTTCTTGTTTGTTTAAAAGGTAAAAAAGTAAAAGCAGTAAAGAGTAAACACGACTAAGAGGAATAAAGTACATTTTAAGATGACTGAATAAAATAGAAAAAACAAGAGCACATTTGTTAATTTTTTTTATCCATAAGTCAGACTAAACAAACAAACAACGCCATTATACACTAATACGGTTAGTAACGTTTTTATTTCGCATTTCTTTAACGCACATGGAAATGTCGTTAAATTTCGGATCTTCTTCGGCTCTAATAAAAAACTTTTCGCTTCTGCGAGTGTTAAAAACAAACACAGCCGCCGTTACCTGTAGTTAAAGCAGGTAACGCATTTCTCCTCGTCTTCTTTACAGCTTCAGCACAGCTGCATGAGACACACAGGGCGCTGCCATTTTGTTTCAATTTAAATAACTTTATTTAAAAAGCCCCACAGCGCCGAACAGCGGCGAAAGGGCGACACGACAGTCAAATCATCAAAGAGTCAGCGAAGGCAGTGAAGGTGGAGTTTAAGAGGCGGCGAACACTGTTATCTGACACTGTAGTGTCTGATGTAGGGAAACGTGCATGAAGTCTCCTTCATGAATCCGCTGGAGTAAAAGTGCACGAGCACAGGAAATAGAAAGTAGGCTTTTCTAAACCAATTAATCAATTGGTTTAAATGCACTCAAAAGTGATTTTTTACACCAAGCAATAATATGAATAAAATGAAACATATAAAATAAAAAGGTTTATTTATTCAAATACTTCATCGTTAAGGGAAATGTGTTTCGTATAAACTGAATGTGCACGAACCAAGTAAATTTCATTTGAGCAGACTCCAATAATTGAAACATTTCACATTGTACTTGTGGAACAAAAAAATCAAATCAAATAATAATAATACACATTCACATGTAATGAAATTTTGGGCAGATTTTTAAAAAAAATATTTTTACATGGAGTTCTGTGTAGGAAGCATATTGTGGTAGAGGTTGTATTAATCCTGCTGAACTGATATGATTATATCTCCCTAAATTTATTACACTGTTGCAAATGACACGTCATAAAATCGACGTAGTCAGTGGACTAGGTGCCATAGTCCACCATATCGCCCCACTTTATTAAAGTCTGTGTGCGTGTGCGTGTCGCTGTGAGTGAGGGTGACAGGCAGCCAATCAGCACCTCCGCAGCTGTCTGCTCCCTCCCCCTGCAAGCCTCTGCTTGGCTCTCAATAGTGCATCGATCAGCTGTGCTGCAATTACTGCTGCTTAAAACCCCTTCAGAGCAGGACATTCATCTGCGCTCCCAACCTTTACCTTTACCAAGATGACCCTCCAGGTAAAATCCTGCGTTTCTTTGCTCTTTTATTATTGTTATTATTATTTATTAGATGCTACATTATCGCGATGAACCGAACAGCGCATGCCATCTTCTGGCCGTATGAAGTCATCCATCTTTGACGGCGTGGATGAAGGAAAGTCGTGCCTAAACGCGTTAATGCTCTCGGCTCAGTGGTCCTGATGCTGCTCTTAGAATTTAAAGATGTGCTGCTTAGAAGCAGAAAATATGAAAACATGATGAAAATTCACTAGATTCAGAGTTTGTCTCTATGAGAACATGCGGAGGTAAACTGGATCTATATGCAAACATCCGCTTTTTGACCAATGGTCAGCATTCAGAGCTGGATCATTATATATTTCAGCCGCACCTCAGTAAAGAGTTAAAAGGTATTTAGGTCTTTGCGCATATTAAAAATGGTTCCTGTGGTCTATAATTATCAGTTCTGCTGTGTCCCAGATCCTTTGAAAAGCAGATTATTTGAGTAGGCACACAGGCTCTGGTCTCATATAAAAGCCCATTGTTTATCTCCAGCTTGTGCAACAATCAGTTTCCCAGGACTGCCCCGTGCCTAGAATACCACACTCACATTTCTTATTCAGTGCTTGTAACTCATTAATATGCACACTCTCGTATTCGATGTAATTACTTTACATTCCTGCTGGACTTTATTGCAAAGAGAAGAAAGCCTCCAGTCCAGTGTTTTCCCATCGCAGACACACTGCTTATGTTTTCTGAATAATTAATGGCAAACATAAAGAGTGTTCATGTCACCTGCAGGCAGAATTTGACAAGGCAGCAGAGGATGTGAAGAAGGTGAAGGCCAAGCCCACAGACGAGGAGCTGCTGTTCCTGTATGGCCTTTATAAACAGGCGGTTGTTGGAGACATTAACACTGGTAGGAACCGCTACAGAGAAACTGAATCACTCCCATAAAGAGTTCATTAAGTTCAGATTTTTTTTCCTTCTCGCTGTGTGCTTTCACAACTGTAGAGAGACCGGGAATGCTGGACCTAAAAGGAAAGGCCAAGTGGGACGCCTGGGAGTCGAGGAAAGGTAACGAGTTAGGAAAGCTTGTGATTGTTACATTTGTCCACGAGAACTAAACACTTTAACTGAAGGTGCTGGGAAAGTGATTCATTAGCAGGTTATAGATCATACAAGGATATATGAGACAGATATTTTTTGCCAAGTTTGCAGCTGGAACAGTTTTTGGTATTTGTCTGTACAAAATAAGGTAAAGGAATTGGTTCTTTTACACTATGAGCCACACACACACATTTACACTCCACTGGATGCAAGGACGCATGCAGACTGGAGGGGCTCCACCTCCTTGTTGCCTGTCTATTTAGTACTCAAAACCTGCTGAGTCCACAGGTGTAAGTCATGAGAATGAATTTTGTAAAACATGTTTATAGAGCATGAGTTCAACTGAATTTTGCTCCTCTGCAAACATGGAGGAATCTGCTCCAAATGAGGTGTGTTCAGTGTCAACTAAGACTCACAGGAGGTAACTTTTAGGAAATTAGAAGTTAGTCATTGTCAAAACATCCAAATATTTTCACCACTTAGTTTCATCCAACATCACACGAACGTTTTAATTTTACTCACTTATTCATTGATTTTTTAAAAATGTATTTTTTAAAGTAAAATTACCCTAAAAAAATGTTGAGTTAAGGCATTTGCAGGTTAACATGATTTAGCTGCACACGAGCTGTTTCTGCAAGTCTGTGTTTAGTGTTGAGTACTTGAGAAAAAGGTGACTACACGCAGATTTTGTTGGGTTTTTTGTTGTAATAGGTTCATTTTTAGTGACATCACACTTGTGCAAAGAGTCAAAGGGTGGTGTTGAGCTCCACTCATTTCTTTGTATTTTTCTTCCAATGACTCAGACCATGTAAATGATCTTGAGCAATAGCTCTCCAGGCTTTCTCAAGGTCTTTCAAAGTTTGCCTTTGGACATTGTTTGCTCCTTTAACTCATTTTCAGTCCAGTCCTTGTACCTGACCATTTTCAGAGGAACTGTTTTATTTGTTAAGCAATTTAGCACTGAATCATTCAAGGAATAAAAAGTTACCTAACTCGAGAAACGATCGAGAGACAACTGATCAAAGTACCATTTTTTAATCTTTATCTTTAGGCCCTTTGTTACTAGCAGCCTGTTGCACAAACGCATCATTTGTTCACATGTCTTTTGCTGAAGCTATGAAAAAAGCCAAAGATAACACAGTTTTTTAACAGAAGTATTCATGACACAGTTTATAATCTGGCAGCATGATAATGATCCCAAAAACACTGCACGCATATACACACAGATTTTTAAAAATCCAGTTTTTTAAAGTTTTATATCTTTACTTACACATTACCGTAACAAAAACACAACCCAGATGCCAGCTTCCATGGTGGTGATTTATCATAATAATAATAATGGATTGGATTTATATAGCGCTTTTCAAGGCACCCAAAGCGCTTTACAATGCCACTATTCATTCACTCTCACATTCACACACTGGTGGAGGCAGCTACAGGTGTAGCCACAGCTGCCCTGGGGCAGACTGATAGAAGCGAGGCTGCCATATCGCGCCATCAGCCCCTCTGGCCAACACCAGTAGGCAAGTAGGGTAAAGTGTCTTGCCCAAGGACACAACGACCAGGACAGAGCCCGGGGATCGAACCGGCGACCTTCCGGTTACAGATACGCTTCCCAACCCCCTGAGCCACGGTCGCCATCAGAACCTGTTGAGCTCATAAAAGGAAGCTTTTTAGGGTTTTTTTTAGATTTATTACCAATAAACAGACCTGATCTTATCTAAGCATCTTCATCATGAGAATCTCTCCCATAGTTTAACCAACTTTTCAGTGCTATATGGGAGAAAGGCTATGTAAGCATGTATACAAATAGGAGAAAACTTCTTTAAGACATTATTATTTAAGTCCAAATCACTCGTAATTTGAACTCTTTCAGGAATGTCCAAGGATGACGCCATGTCGGCCTATGTCACAAAGGCTAAAGAAGTCATCAGCAAGTACGGGCTGTGAGACGTCCATGAAGTGAAGAGGCAGCAGCGATGAAAACAGACTACTAATTCAGACTACTAAAACAAAGCTGCTCTTTACTTAAAAGAGCAGCTTTGCTTCCAGAGGCCATAATTCTGCAAAATAATGTGATTTTAAAAAAATGTCTTTCTATCCTTGATTTTTTGAATTACATAGCTCAATTGATTTATGCATTTTAACAATATCTATGCAGTCTTTAACATATTAATCTTTCTATATGTACTGCATACTGGACTTAGATTTGCAGCTTGAATCAAAACAGGACAATTTAAATGTTGGCAAATGTGAACAAACACGTTTTGAAGATTAAACCTTTTTCTGCACTGTTTCCTTTCTTTCATTTGTGCTTGTTTTTATTGAGAGGTTGATTTTTTTTTGCCTTCAGTTTCAGTTTAAAACAACCTGCATAAAATCTTTACACAGAGAAAGGATTTTAGGTTTTATTCATGAAGAGGCCCGACTATGGTCTGTGCAAACGATTACGGGAAGTTTTGATTGACATACAGTTATTCATACTTAAAAGAGTTGTCTTAGCTGGAACTACACCTGCAACACCTGCTTTGGTGCCAACCTAAGTGGACAACAGGTGCACTGGAGAGGCAACACCACAACCCTCAAAGTTCAAGCTGGTGGACACAGACGGTTGCTCTCTCCTCATCCTCCTTACTGGTTTCTTTCTAGTTTTTGTTTTGCTGGTGTCCTGACAGCTGCCGGCATCTTCATGGCATAGATTCAACAATTTTCTGGAAATGTTTTAAAATAAGTCAACATCACACAGTTGCTGCAGATTTCCATGATGCAAATCTCCCACTGTACCACATCCCAAAGGTGCTCTCTTGTGTTAAGACCTGCTGACTGTGGAGGCCGTTTGAGTACAGTGAACTCATTGTCACGTTCAAGAAACCAGCTTAAGATTATTTTAGTTTTGTGACACAGTCCATTATCCTGTTGATCCATGCTTTCATGTTGTTTCATTAGACCAGCCAATGTTTTTCCAATCATCTGTTGTCTAATTTTGGAGAGC